TCTCTCTCTCTCTCTCTCTCACCCCCATTCTCGCGCAAGGTTTATGTCAGACCACAGACCCCCTTGTATGATCAACAAAAATATGAGTTGCCGACAAATATAACGTCGTGCTCCGGACCCCGTACCATTCATCAAGTGGAGTTATTTCCCCTGAAACTCTCTCCCTCTGGAGCGACGGTAATCACCCTTGGTTTTCATCATATAAAGAGGGCATTTTTTAGAGTTTATCTCCGAGTCTTGTCCTTCAACAGCTACTCCAATTCATCCACCTTGTAAAAAGCAGGAGTTAAAGCTCTCCTGGTTGAGAAAAGGGTTGGGGGAGAGTTGGTGAGAGAGGAGAGAGAAAGTGAGAATGAGAGAGAGAGAGAGAGAGAGAGAGAGAGAGAGAGAGAGAGAGAGAGAGAGAGAGAAATACAGAGAGAATAATGATCCCATACAAACAACAAAGTATATTTTGACATTTTGTGATGTGTTGTACATAGTTGCTTCCCACACATTAACCACATTTCTTTCCATCAGGAACTTTGTAACTGACACCCTGGGATACCACAGGCATATTTTGTATTAACCATTTCTCCACTACTGAAATGTCATCAAGGAATAAAAATGCGGGTGAAGAAAACAAGGCAGATCTTTTTTTCTGCACTGTAAAGAAAGTGAGCAGCCACAGAATATCTCAGATTTTTCCTGACTAAAAAAACAATTAATTCAGCAATGTGAAATAATGTTAGCTAAAAGGGATTCTGGTCTTTTTCGGCCCACAATTAAATCCAACTTATTTTCCACAACTTTTTTTTTGCAGAGTGAAAAGTACTTTATAATAAAATATCTGTTGAGGATCCAAAGGGTTAAACCCTCTCAGGCTCAGGTCATGATTACAACTGCCAGAACACGAGTCAGCCAGAGGGAATGTCAGGGACTGCATATAATTTGAGCAGGACAGAGTTAGGAATGTCCTAAGGCTTAATAATAAAAATATCTCAAACCAACTCACTCAGTGTAAAGACACGCAACAACCCTTCTTTAAAAACATTTTTAAAAAATAAAAATATATATTCCAATATTGCAGGTTACACCTCCTAAAGGAACTGAACACTAATTTTCAGAATACCCATCCAGTATGCTGTTTCTTTTAACTAGTTACAAAACATGCTACATGATATACTCATATTGAAAGCAGTAATTCATAACTGTGGCATATGAATTTCATATAAATTGCATTATATATCCTTCTTTTCTTTATGAAATCTGTGTTTACCCCCTCCCCCCACCCCAAAAAGGGCTGGGCTCATCAAAGACCTCTTATTTTCCAGGAAGAATGAAAACAACCAAAAACACACTATTCCCCTCCCACTAACACTTCTAAGACAAGGAAAGAACCACTACAACAGACTAATCCTAACCATATATGTCTGGTCCTCTCATCCATTTCCAGGGGGAATTTTTACCCACTCAAAACAGGGAAGTGAGAGAGATATGATGGCTATAGTGCACACCTGAGTTATTAAAGACAACAGACTGATAGGGACAGACACTTCACTTTTTACACAGCTAAGCAAGCTCCCAACCCATATCGGCATCTCATGCACATTTCAATTCATGGTTGCAGTTATAAGTGGGAAAAAAGAACACAATGAAATAACGTTTAAGCACAAACAGTGGTTTCATCCTATCCAATACACTGGTCTCAGAAACTTTTAATTTTCACTATGACAAGCAGAACTCCCTAAACCAACAAAAAAATACTCCATCATATTTTAAACTCATCTTTTGTTCAGGCTAAACATGGAGGGAAAGGGTTAACTGAACAGAAAGTTAGAAAAAAAGTGCTTTGACAGCATTTAAATCTCTGAACATCCAAAACCTTTTCTTGACTCTTGAGTACCAAAAGCTTATCAGCATGCACTCAAAACAGTAGAAGACAAAAATCTGTAAACGTGTCTAGTGTATGGAGGCAAGGAATAGAAAGAGTTAACCAGCAAAGCTCCACCCTTGGCCTATCACTGTTGGCATTCAGACTTCTACCTCCTCATCCACTGATAACAAGAACAAGGAGTACCCAGCCCAGGTCTTTACTGAATTCACCTTTCCCTTGGAACTCCTCTTCAAAGTGTTGCAAGTTAAGTCAAGAGATCAACTGGAGGCAAGACTATAAGAAAACAAAACTAGACTGAAACTGTACAAGCTAACAAGCATGAATTTTTATGCTGAAAAATCTTTTGCCAATTAAGCTGTAACAATAACCACTTCAGTCCACTTGATCTTCAAAATGAAAGTGGCTCCAACAAAACACACAAAGGCATTTATGAAACCAGAATTTTATCTAAGAAACTTCTCAAGAAAAAAACAACAACAAAAAACCCCACCCTGTGACAATAAATGACCCAAAATCTAGAATTGCCCATGTTGCGACTTAATTTCTAGTTAACTACTTTACTAAATTTTCCACTAACTGTACTAACACTATCCCTGACCACTGCTTCGACAGTTACTTTCCCTCCTCGATTTTTATTAAGACCAATTACTTCTATCATGTACACTCAGTACTTACTACTACTAACACTGCTATTTTTAGCATCAAGGCTTCTCCAACAACTAGCTCAATCCTGGCAAATTATGCGTTTCCCAAGCAACCTGTCCATGTTCCATTGCCCCCCCCCCCCCCCCCCCAAGCCAATACAACAGGGATTCCAGCAAGAGAACAATTTCCCCTTGTGTTCTCTTATCAGTTTTTATGGGCGTGGGGGCAAGTGCAAGAAGACACCCAAGGGAGAGGCTGGGAGCCTGGCTAGATAAGGGGCACACAAGCAAAACAACTTGCCAGTGGTTCTGTAGTATTCTTACTTTTGACCATGTTGAGTTGAGAGTGAATACACACCCAGACAAATAAGATGACAACAATGCTACAAGAAGTAGTTAATAATTGAAAGAAACTGAATGAAAAAGATAGCTGTGACCAGTGTCCCTTCCTTTTTACAACTGCATTCAGAGTAAAAAACAAAGTGAATACTTTTTAAAAACATCCACAGATTCCAAGCCCTAGAGCATTCTTAACACTTTAATATAATTTTTATTAAGTTAAAGAAGCCCACCAATAACAACAATTAAAGAAGCCCAGTAATTAAATTCAAACTGCAATATTATGTTTATTGTAATTATAGGAGCAGCATGTATATCAATAACTTAATAAAGCAAATGCCAATGACTGGATAAATGGGAGCACGGTAAATGAATTGAGACATCACATTTGCAGTGGTGGAAACAGAAAGAAGGGGAGCAGGTTACGGGTAGTCAGACAAACACGACCAATCAGCTTTTAAGAGAGAAGATCAAAAGTGACTGACAAATGGAGCAGTACTCCCAACACTACCACACTCCTTTCACGTGACCCTCATTACTACCATCAAAATAAAAGGATAATGTCAAAACAGAAGAAACCCTCATTATAATCCCTCAAATGGTCAATGTAAATTTATCTTAAAATACAAGTCTTTAAGACTTGAAAAAAAAATCAGCAAAATTTACTTCAGTCTTTTATCTTTAAAAAAAATTAATAATAGCTGCATATCAATCTAATCGGACATATATATCAGATGAAATGGAGACCTGATCAGATGGAAAGAAATAAAAGTGAGGATGCAATATCATCATTTACAAACAACAAGATTCACACTTGTTCACAATATCAATAACAAAGGTATGGCAGTATGACAAATGTGTAGATAATCAGAAAAAAGTCTACTCACCCTCTCATATTGCAGAGCGGCAGGTGATCGGGAAATGCTTGCATAGTTGGGGTGATCCTGCTGGGCAGGGGGGATGCTTTGGTGGCGAGGTGAGCCCGACTGAGGAGCGCCGTTGGCCATGTGTCGGTACTGGTCGTTGTTGCCCTGCGGCGGCATGGACCGGTCGTCGTAATGACTGTGTCGCGAGGGCTGAGGTCCGCCGCGTTCGAAAGAACCATCACCGCGGTTGTAGCTGTCGTACGAGTTGTTCACCCTCCGGTCGTAGTCGGGGTGCCCTACCGGCCTCTTCTCCAAGGTACCTTGACCGTTATCATTGCGGCGATAGTCCATGTTGTCGTTGTAGCTGTCGTAGTAATTGTTGTTGCCGCCCCGGGCTCTCGGGTCCACTTGCTCCTGCTGTGGGTGCGGGTGGTGGGGAGGGTAGCGCGACTGGTGTGGGTCCCGCTGGTGCGGTGGATAATCACCTCCATAATCTTGGTGGTCCCGGTGGCCCCCATGTGGTCCTTGCTGTTGTGGGTACTGGTGATGCTGTTGTTGATGTTGCTGCTGCTGGGGATGGTGCGGAGGGTAGCCTTGACCTTGTCTGTTATAATCACCTCTCGGTACATTTTGCATCATCTCGTCCTCGGGTACTGCTGGGTAATCGTTGCCAGGCGGCCGTCGGCGATAGGGAGGTGGGCTTTCACGGCGCAGTGAATTTGACCTCGCCACACTGATGCCTTGAGGATGCCCATTCTGTTGGCCTCTGATTATGGTCTGAAGTAAAAAAAAATTAAAAATTTTAATTTTCATAAATCATCTTGACAAGTGCAAAATGCTTTGAACATTTAACTAATAATTTCCCAAAATAATTACCCACAGGTGAATAGCTCACAAAAATAGCAAGTGTGCAAAGAAGCAGCAATTCATACAGTTGCCATTCTTACCATACTGTAAAGCTATGAATAAAATCTTTTAAAATGGTTTAGTTTTATTGAAGATTATACCATCAGCTGATCTATAATGAAGTACGACGAGGCATAATTTAGAATACAATTTCAATGAAATTTTAGCACCCTGAAGTAGATGATGACATAGAGCAGCCTCATTCTACACAATTTTTCTCAATGTATTTATAAAATTAATAAGTATAAACTTTCTTTTTCCTCACTCACCTTCAATGGTTCAATATCAGTCACAGTAATTGTAGATGGGTCCACAATTGGCCTCCTTCTCCCTTTACTACTTTCAATGATACTGGCCCACTGTGCTGGCAGACCCACAAACACTCCATTCTCCCAGTCAAAGCCTGTATGGACTCTGTGTTGGAAATTCGACGGTTGAGAAATTTCAACCTGGGGCTTCTTTTTCTTTTTCCCAAACATGGTGGTGATTCTGTGTCAGCTACGACCCACTGAAAATAGAAAATTTGTTAAAAATTTACAATAGATGAAGAAAAACCAAAGTGAAATATCCGTCAGCCCGAAACATATTCTGACAACTATCAAAACACTCTAATGTGGCGTCGGTGGCCTAGTGGTTATATGCTCTCGGACTCGCAACCGTAAGGTCGTGGGTTCGAATCCCGTCAAGGGCCCGACGTTGTGTCCTTGGGAAAGGCACTTTACACGAATTTTCCTCACTTCACCCAGGTGGGAATGGGTACCTGGCTATAGACAGCGAAAGATCTTGTCAGTTTGTTAGTGTTTGAGCGCTTAATCGGCTGCTCGCACTGTATGCTTCCTGGGAAGCTGAGAATGCTTCGGAGTGTTCTATGGTCTGCTGGGGTAATAATATAGTGTAAAGCGCATAGCCTGCTGCTGAGCGGGGATATGCGCTATACATTATACTATCTATTATTATTATTAATGGACAGCTGAATGTGCAATAGTCTATGCTCTTATAGCAAGGATAAACATCCCACCATTATATGTGAGAAACATTCAAAACACTCCACCCAGGGTGTGGCCGTGGAACATGGGACATCTCAGCCTCCATTGGACCCATATTGAATAGCCTATCTATTTTAATTTGGGTAGCGTCAATTGTAACCAGATCATCCGGTCGGAACTGACACTGCGTCAATTGTGACCGGATCATCGCACATACATGGCAATTTCTCCGGTTCTAGAAATCGTTCGGGATTGTGCGCTGGCATGTCGTTAGTTTCACCTTTCCTCTGATTGGTTGCCGAGTTTCATTTATTTTCGTCCACGAGTTTTCCCGTAACTATACTTAGAAAAGAGTCATTTCTGATTCCGAGTGGCCCAAAAATTAACCCCCGCGCGGAGGCCGATTTCCGGCCCAAGGCGCAGCGGGCGATTGGCATTGCTAGCCAAAATCAGCGGTAAGATTGAAGGATACCGGACCAGCGGATTAGGACTACTTTTGCCTATGTCTCGACAACCTTACGAATTTATTATTTTCCCCAGTTTTTAATCTCTCGCAATGACAAATCTCAGACCGGTAGCCTAGATCTATTCATTAGTAGTTTGTGACTTGTCACGGGGGAAACCCCCCTGAACCCCCCCCCCCCCCCCCCATAATCCCTTCCTCCGCCCCCATTCTCGCGCAATAATACGAGTGGTCCGGTATTCTTCAATCTTCCCAAGTCAACTGGCAAGGGAAGCCCCGGAAGATGACAAAAATAGATAATTCTTCTATATTTGGGCCAAAATGTGAAAACCGACTTTCACTAATCACGAAAGTGAAAGAAGAGCAGCGTACGTCTCCAGCTATGTCACCGGTCACAATTGACAAGTGTCAGTTCCGACTGGATGATCCGGTCACAATTGACACTAGATCTAGATCTACCTTTAATTTGTTGAGACATTTTTGTGAGATATTCTTTCGCCTTTGGCTTTCACTTTCACATTGAAAAGAAAACTACTGAAATAGTTTTTCTCAACTCTGGAAATTAATGCCATAAAAAATTCAATAAAAACAAAACTAGGCTTGTGTTATGTTGGACATGATGTTATCAAGCTCACAACAAAATGAATGAATTACCAACACAGTAGACTGAAACAACAAGTCTTCAGGCAGGACTAGATCTATCTTCCTAGCTTGAATTTGAATTTAAAATTAGAAGAGCTGTTCTCTTGCAGAGGCGAGGTCTCAGTCTCAGGCGACTCAGGTCTGTGGGTTGGTAGGCCTATAAAACCTAAAATCCATAATAATTGTCTTTTCAATGAGGAAAATGATTGGTAAAGAGGCTAGGCCTATCTACTGAGACTATGCCTTCAACTAACTAGGCTACTGTTGTTGTCTCCATCACTGTCACTAGTCACTGCCACCAGTCACCACCTGGAAGTGGGGGACTGAATCACACAACAAACGACGCACACCACTGACTGACTGGAAAATTTTGAGCACACGAATGAATCAGAGGCTTGAGCTTGAAACTGCGATTTACTATCGACACATAAAGCTCAAACTTGCAACACATCTTGCGAGAGCAGTAAATGGGGTAACAAATATCACAACTGTTCGATAAAATCTGAGCCGCACAGGTGCGAGCCCTACTTCCGTCTCCATACCTGTGTGTGTTCTACCTGGCGAGCCGAGTGTGTATCAACTTCGATTTTATTCGAAACAACATGTCCAAGAAAGCATATTAATTCACGTTAAAACTTACGATATGTATTTCTCTTAAGTAAATGCTTTGACTACGGCCATTCAATTTGCACAAAGCGTTTCCATACTTACACTTCAAAACGGTGACGCCGTTGCCGTTTATTTTTGGGAGAGCAACAGGCAGGACGCCATTTTTTACTACTAGGACACTACTACATACATACGGGCACTTCCGTCTTTCACGAGAGGGCGCTGTCTTTAGTTTACGACTCTCCTGATATTGGAGTTAGCCTTGCTACTTACTTTACTTCGCTAGGCCTACTTCGCCTCACAGAAATAGGGCGAGGCTTCGCAAAGGCTGTTGTTCGTGCCAGTAGCTCGACTCTGCAAGAGTATCGTATTGCGTAAAAATAACACGACGGGCACCCAAAAAAGTAGGCTAAGCGTAGTAACTGTCACCGCTGAGAGGAAAGAGCGAAGGGGAGGCTGACGGACTGGTCGATCAGATCGTGGGAATTCGCGGCGGGCGGCTGGAGAGACCTGTTTTATTGCGCTAGTTGGGGATAGAGGGAAGGCACAAAATAAACACTTGTACTTGTACTTTATACAGGTACGCATACAGCTAGTATATTATTATGCGCCCTCCTTAGAGCCAAACGATTTCTGAAACAGGTCTGCCTGTAAAAAGGCATCAAATGAATTATTTAGTCTGCTTTACATCTATAGATCTAGCGGGTAGTTTGGTGAGGAAAAGTGGAGGGAGTGAGAAGCCGACAGTGCGTAGGAAATGACGGATGTGCCAATTACCCGCTTGCATGTGTGTTTGTGTGTGAGTGCGTGCTCGATCCGCTCGTGTGTGTGTGTGTGTGTGTGTGTGTGTGTGTCCCCTCCCTCTGAATGTGTGTGTGTGTGTGTGTGTGTGTGTGTGT